GTGTGTGTGTGTGTGTGTGTGTGTGTGTGTGTGTGTGTGTGTGTGTGTGTGTAAAGGAGTCACTGCTTCCAACCTCAAGTTCAGAACTGATCTTCAAGAGGCACTAATATGCGCTGTCACTTACCAGGGGTGGTAAGAAGAGAGATTTTCGTAAATTAGGATGTGATCCTTTTGACACCCAGCCCACTGCACTCTGGAAGAGACATTAGTCCTTGTAGCCCAGAAAGATGTCAGCTCTTAGGTGGTGGTGGTGAGCACAAGACCCAGGTTCCCTCTGGTTCTCCTAGACCCCCTCAGTTCTTTCCTCACACTCCTTCCTGCCCCCAATGCAGCAGGACCCAGGAGGACAGGATTGGGGCTATTCCCTACACCCACTCCCACCCCAGTATGCTTTCTCCCTAGCTGGATATGTACTCTGTAGGGCACTGCTGACTCTACCAGAGATGACAGCTGTCAGTGGCAGGATCCGGGCAGTCCATGATAGGGGGATGAGGGGAAGAGGGATCGGGCAGGAGGGACAGCCGTAAAGCCTGAGGGCTGGTGGGGGTAGGGGTGATGATGAGTGGAGGAAAGGAGGCCAGGGAGGCAGGAAGAGGGGGGATGATTCATCGAGAAGGAGCCTGAATTGGAAACACCGCAATGTGGGGAAGTGTCCCGAAGAGGGGGGGAGGGAGGGAGGAGGGAAAGAAGAGGCATCCCAGGGAGGAGCTAGGCTGGGCTGGCACCGAGGTCCCCTCAGCCGTTTCTCCCCCCTCCCAAGGCTTCGGCGCTCAGTCCCGGTTCTCGTTCTCTTCTTCCTCCCTTCCCCTGCAGTCTTTCCATAGTACTCACACTCACACACAGAGATGGTTGTTTTCCAAGCCAAGCTCCAGCCCAGGGGCAAGAGAGGCTTCCTCTGCTCATCTTAACTATCTCACTGCCTCCTCGGTGGGGAGGAGGGGGTGTCCTACCTTACAGACCCCTGAATTTGTAGAGATTTCTCTTCTTAAGTCTTCAGCTTCTCTCTTTAAGTACCTGAGAGCTGTGTAAAGCTCTAACCTGGATGTCTGCTACTCCATCCAGCTTTAGTTCTGACTGAGGATTGGTTTGGCAGGAGGCTGGGGGTGGGGGAGATCATAGTGACTGGTCCTCCCAAATATACACCGCCCCCCCTTCCACCCCACCCCTCCCAGAACGGAGATATGCGGGCCCTTGCACTGGCCAACAAGGTTTGCCGGTATAGGGGGTGGGATGGAGAGCCCCCAAAGTTCTCCCTCCCGCGGGTCCCAGGAGCCACGTGCGCTGGAGGTGGGGGGGGGGGGAGGCGGGGCCGTACTCACCCGTAGAGAATCTGCTGCTGCGGACACCTCGGGCCCCTGCCCCAGCGCAGCCCAGCAAGGAATCGGGGGTGGGGGTTGGGGTTGGGGTTGGGTAGGGGGCGGCCGGAGTCAGCCCAACCTGGCCCTGGCCCCGGGGAGCCTCCGGATGGGGCGGAGAGCGTGTTGCGGCCCCACTGCCCTCAGCTTCTCCGCCGACCCGGCCAACTCTGCCTCCCGGCGCGTCTCCCTGGCTCGGAGCTTCGCTGCGGAAAACCCGAGCGGGGGCGGCTCCCCGCCTGCGGCCCCGGAGAATCCGGGGGCGCTGGGAAGGGATCTCCAAGCGGGCCCAGAGAGCAGCATCCCATCCGACCGGGGCTCATCCCCAGAGAGACTGACGCTCTGGGGCCAGGGCGCCGAACCCGGGCCCCGTCGGCTGACACTCCTTCTCCCTCCGCAGAGCGCCCTGACTACGGGACGATGACGGCGGGGAGCCCCGGAGCCCGCGGGGAGGCACAGAGCCCAGAGTCCCCCGGTCTGCCTTCGGCCCCAGCCCGAGCCCTCCGCCGCCTGGGCCGCCGCCGGCGCCTGAGCCGCCGCCGCTGCTCCCAGCCCGAGCTGCTAGGGCTACGGGCTCGGCTGCGGCTGCGCTCGCCGTCGGGGGCCTTCGCGGCACTGGGGGCGCTCGTGGTGCTGGTAGGCATGGCTGTGGCCGTGGCGGGTTACTGGCCCCACCGCGCGGGGACGCCGGGGGCCCGGGCGGCCAACATCTCGGCGCCGGCGGAGATGCGACGGTCGGGCCGTCTCCCGGGCCCCTCCGAGAAGCTCAGGCTCCTGGGACCTGTGGTCATGGGCGTGGGCCTGTTCATCTTCATCTGCGCCAACACGCTACTCTACGAAAATCGCGACTTGGAGACCCGACGGCTCCGCCAAGGGGCACTTAGGGCACAGGCACTGCGACCCCCCGACAGCCCTGCCTGGGACAGCGGCATCAGGACTGCCTTACCGCCTGGAGGGGGCTGGCAGCCCGAGAGAAGAGACTTCTCGCCCCGTCGGGGCGCTTCCCCAGTCCCGTCCGTGCGGAGCCTGCGTTCGGAGCCCCCGAGCCTCCGCCCGGCCCTGCCCGCCCCGCCGCTCACCAGGTGGTCACTGAGAGCCCCAGGGCCGCGGGGGGAGCCCTCCCCACCCTGGAGCCCGCGGGGCAGGCTGGGACACGTGGTCATCGCCGTGCAGCCGCAGGTTCTTGCAGGGCACTCCAAATCTCTGGACTTGGGGCGAGGAGGGGTGCTGCTTGGAACCCCGCCCGGCCGCGATCGCACACATCGCAGCTGGCCCCGCCTGGACCTGCTCAGCCTGGGCGGGTATACCAAACTGGACGGCGGTGGGGACTTAGGGGCCCGAGTCTGAAGAGCTCCAGGCACATGCTTCTAAAAGACTGCAGTGTGTGCACAACGTGGTGAGAGTAGGACAGAGGCGTCCGGATGCCATCACAGAGCATCTTCCAGACACCGGAGTCAGCATCTATACCTTGAGCTCGTCCCGGGGCTTCCATCGAACGATCGATCGTTGTTCTCCTCGCCCCAGTCTCTACTGGATCTGACTCGGAGAGGAGAGAGTCCGAAGCCAAACCAGTTCTTCCTGCTCCGGGCCTGTAGCAATACCTGGAGGATGAATTTCGGGAACGGGCCTGGATTTGACAAGTTATTTCTCTTGGCCCCAGCCCTCCACTGACCTTTGATCTGCGAAGCTGCCTTCCCAAGCCACCCAGAGAGCCCTGTGATGACATTTGAACGAGGGTGGGGGGACGGGGACCGGGAGAATGGATAAAATGCACTGCAGTTCAGTGGTTATTCCTGGGACCGAGGAGTCCATAAGTTGAGTTTGGGTGCCTCCTGCCTCTATCTTTGCAGACGATTGATGTGCTTTGGGGAAATAGGCCCAGTGCAAAGTCCCCAAGTCGTTTCCTGAGGTTACCCACCCCACCCCACCTCCAGTTTATTCCTCTAGGACTGCAATAGTACCACAGGCCCCAGTCCCCCCCACCCTTAAGGAAGCACCACCGCAGCTGCACAGGGGCCTAGTTCCAGTTGGCCTGGGATAGTGGCTGATTCTCAGAAAGCCTTTACCACTCACTTGGAAGCTGTCTTCTTGGCAGGGTAGGCACCAGGACCCAGAACAAGGGCCAGATTTGGGTCCCCTTCCCATGATTCATCTGCTAGGGACAGTATAGAAAATAAGTAGACCAAGTTTTTGTTTGAAATTTATTGAAAAAGTAATACAAGCAGCAAGACCGACCCAGTATATCTAAACACTATCACAACCTACCCTGCCTTCTCACTACCAAAGTCCCAAATAGCAGATCTGATCATCACCTAATTTAATCTAAGGATTTTCCCCGTTGGATTCTGCTGCCATTGCTCCTAATTCATCAAGAAATGTAAACAGCCATTCGATACAATACAAAATTGTGAGGATTTTTTTTTAATTTACAGACCTTCATTTTTTTCTTTGCAACTAAAATAATACACTTGAAACTGATTTGTAGAAAGAAATCTAGATTGGGGACCAAATTGGTGGAAAACGTTCTGGAGTGAGAAGACCAGTCACTGCTGGGGTGGTAGGCTTGGACTCCCCAAGTCTTTTCTCTCCTGCCCTCCCCCATGTCCCACTGCACTGGATACTGAGTGGGCCTGAGATGCTGTAAACAGAAGCTCTGGATGGCCTGCAGCTAGGGATGATCGGTCGATCTGTGAGACAGCCATCCCTGCAGTCTCATCTTGAGGTGAAAGAGAATAAAACTATAGAGAAAGTTGTCTGTGGTGTGTCTGAGTCACTTTGGTCAAGTTCCTGCCTAGTCCCTAAGCCTGGGAGGATTTCTGAGCCTCTTGGAGTTCCGATCTTGCCCTACATATTTCTCCTGTCCTTGGTGCCCTGGGCAGCCCACTATCTCCTTTGCATCTGGTTCTTTTCACAGGGAAAATACGATAGGCAGAGAAAAATCCAAATAGTCTCAACGTCTACTGTCGGGTTAAGGTCAAGGGGAGGAGAGAAGAGAGAGGCTGTAGGGCAGGGAATATTGCAGGCCAAATGACCCCCACTATGCTTGAAGGAAACAGGCCCATGGGAGAAAAAGTTTTGACTAAGGCCACACAGCTAGTGAGTGAGCCCTTTGTGAGCCAGGTGATGGAGTAAAGAGAGCCACAGGTCCACCACTCACTAGCTGTGTGACAATGCATGATCCATTTAATTTCACTGGGGCTTGGTTTGCATGAGTCGAGGAGGGATTCCGCTCTAAGGATGGATGAAGTTGGGATGAGGACTCAGCTCAACCACATTTATGCTTTAAAAGTCGTGTCACTCTGCTCTGGGACAACTTTTCTGTAAACCTCAGTCCTCATTCTTGCCAAAAAAGGTGGCCTTACACCAAAATTTCTAGGCCCCACTGGCACATTTCATGACGTTCTCAACTCCTTGTTCTATTTCACGTGTGAAGATGATACTGCTGGCTTCTCCTCCATGGAAAGAGATGCTTTGTGGTGTTCTCCCTCCTGATGGTGATGGGCTCACAATGAGCCTTCCACTCCCTCTGGCCTGGTTCCCTATGTGACAAATGACACATGCTTGCTTGTCTGAGCCTTATCTCCCTTCTGGTGAGTGATTAGCTTCCTCTTGGGAATTTTGGGCTTTGCTGCTATGTACCATGGCTCATGGTATGCTTTCTTGATTGGGGGCTGTGTCTTCATTGGCTCCATTCTGGGTTGGCCTTTGTGACTAAAGCACAGGTGGGAGGGCCTGCCTTCTCCAAGGGGACACCACTTCAGCCTACAGCTCACTGAGGCCCACTCTTTTCCCCCAGCTGGGATCAATTCCAAAGTAAGTGGGCGCTCATGGCCTGCTGTGGCACCACTCCTGTTTTATAAGCTCTGGGGGAGGGAGGCTACAGAATGGCAGCCTGAGGGGAGGGTGCTGACATGAGTGAGCTGCACGATACTACTCTGCGGCTTGGACAAACTGCCAACTTTCTTGCCTCCCCCTCGCAGCTCACCCTGTCCTCCTCCTAGGAAGCCCTTGCTCCTTCCAGGGTAAGACTCAGGAAGATATGTTTGGGACTAAAGAGGCAGGCCAATGGGAGGACCAGTCACCATGAGAGAAAATCCTCAATTCTAGGCCACAGCCCCAAGTTAGGTTAGGCAGGTGCCTCAGAGGCAGGCACAGGGGAACACTGTGATCACAAATCCTGAGGATATTAGTTCTAACACTTCAAAACCAAATCCAGAAAGCCTCAAACTCAAGTAGAAAATAGTGAAGCCTTATGAAAGGAAGACATGCTCTGATTCCCAGGTCATGCTACAACCCTGGGAAAGGAGACAAAGGTCCCAGGCCCACAAGGGCCTTGGCTTAGGGATCAACCCCTACAGGTAGGCCCTAGCGGGGAGAAGAGAAGCAGCCAGGTCTGGCTACTCTGATACTTCTAGATCAGCGAAGCTGCCTCAGGAAGGCTTCTTGGCAGAATCTGACCATTCAAGGCCAATCTCACCACTGTCCTACTTGGGAGCATTGAGTGGTCAGAAACAGAGACCTCCTCTCACACCTCATTAAGCCCCCTCCCTTAGTCTCTCCTGAAGCCATTAGGTGGAACAAGGACTTTTTGATGCTTCTGCTGATTGTGCTTGCTGGGTAGATGTCGCACAGTCCACTTGGGTGGTCAGCAGCTGTTGTCTTGAGACTACTATCCATAAAGTTTGATCTATTGTATTAGGAGAGGGGGGAAAAGGCTGTTTCTGAAGGGGCCAAAAGGTTAAGGAGGTGGGTGACAGTTCCATGAATGTGCTTGAGAATTCACAGTATCATATATATGAAGTTCCAGTTTCTTTGCTCTAAACAGCTACTGAAATAGCTTTTGAAAAAAAAAAGTGTTAAAGAGAAAAACACTACATTCGCAGCCAAGGTCTCTGCCCATTATGGTGTGCGTTTGGCTCTCTGCCCATGATTCACAGAGGAACACCCTTCCAGTCAGGCACCAGGGAGATGCCCCTACTATCCCAGGCTTCAATCAGGCAGATGAAGTGAACTCATTGGCTCCAGAAGGAGAAGAGTTGGTTTTTGTAGCCATGTCTGTCACCAAGAGGGTACAATAAAGAACAGAGACCAAATAACCTGGCTTTCTCCTCCAGCACAGTGGATGAGGTTCTTGCGAGGCGGCAAAGCCCATGGAATGGTCAGTGCCTGGTGTCAGAAACAGGTATGAAAAAGTGAAGAGTGCAAGCCACCCTGAAAAAAATCACCACCGCTTAGCTAAAAAACAGTCCACAGAGTAAAAAGCTGGGCAGTTTCTGACATCACAATCTAGAAAAAGCTATGGCAAAGGCTCAGTGGCATCTAGAAGAATCCCACATCATTAACTCCAAATGCAAAGGAAAATGAATTTTCAGTGATTTAGAAAAATCTTGAAAGTCCAAAGCCTGAATGCTGAAGGAAGTTTTCTTATTGTTCCGTTAGTTTTCTCCATGACTGGAAAAGGTGTGGGGTGAGATTCCTGGAGGAAAAAAGAAAGGCAGATCTAAGAGAGAATAGGGAAAAAGCCAACTTAGCTTATACTGCTCTTGTCCTAAGGCTAGGTTTTGACTTACAAGCACATTAAGTTATAAGAGGCAAATTTTGGGCTAAAAATCACAGAATCTCATAACTCAGAGGTCATCCAGTCTAAGGGTTCTTAATCTGGGCTGCATGGATTCCCAAGTGGTCTATGAACTTGGACATGAAAAATATTACATTTTTATTTTTGCTATCCTGTAACCAGAATTTAGCATTTCCTTCAATTATTTAAAAACATTATTCTGAGAAAAGGGGGTCCATAGACTTCACCCAACTTCCAAAAGGAACCATGACAGAGACAAGACTAAGAACCCCTGAACAACCCAACAGGTGGCCTGCAGTTCCCTTTGGAAGCTCTTTAGTGAAGGTTCAGCCCACTGCCTCTTGAAGCTGAAGGAAGCTTCTGACAGCTTACCTGTGAGAAGAGCTTCCTTACATCAAACCTAAATCTACCTTTCTGCAGCATCAATGCATTGCTTCTAGGTCTGACGTCAGAGCCAACAGACCAAGCCTTGCCCCCCTTCCGTGTGACAGCCCTTAAATTCTAGAACAGCCCCTTCTATGGTTACCCTCTAAATTGTTCGTGTTCTTCCTAAAATGTGGGACCCAGAATTGAACACACTTCCCCAGGTGTGGCACGGCCAGGGCAAGCTGGAAGACCACCGCCTTCCTCACTCTGGGCACCATGTTCCTCATCCTGGAGCCCAAGCTTAGCTTGGTTTCTTTGGCAGCCATGCTGAACTGAAGACTCAGTGAGCATGAAGTCCATGAAAATTTCCAGATCTTTAAAGAGCTAAAAGGGCAGCATTTGATAGATTCCCACTTGTCTGTAAAGTCCTCAACTTGAATTTCTAGAGTTCATTAGAGAACCGTCCTATAAAATCAGCAGTCCACCATCCCCACTGTACAGACAAGAATGATAATAGTTCAGATTTCTCTAGCATTTTAAGTTGGCAAAGGGCTTTACATCTATGATTTCACTTATAAGATGCTAACCTGAAGCTCATGACTTTCCCAAGGTCACACAGCAAATACATTTCACAGTCAGAGCTGGAACCCAGTCTCCTGAGATAGCATTCTTTTGACTATTCCAGGAGAGGAAGGCAGAGGAGATTCAAATCTGACTTCAAGCCTTTGAAGTTGGAGTTAAACAGACAATGGCTCCCTATCCTATCATCCCCACTTCATTTATCCACACTAATTTTTGTCTTCACTTCTGATGTCCCAGCTGGCTCATCCTTGCTAGTTATAGGCTACTGCTGTTAGGCAGTGGTAGTAAACACCACTAGGCAAAAGTTAAGTCCAGTCTTCCTAAGCGATATGGTGGAGATTCCTCAGGAACACCTTCTTACCTGAGTTACTCTTCATCGATCTCAGTCTCCTGATGGACAACAACCTTGGTCACTGACATGTCGGGGTGCTGCTCCTTGGCTTCTTTGATTGCCTGCACAAGGACCTAAGAAAGAGAGTTGAAGTAATTAAAAAAGAAAGCAGTCGGGACAGTTTACAAGGGAAGAAAATGAATTTACAAGAGCATCTTTATGATATAGTCAAATCCCTTCTTCTACCCTGAAGGCCCAATAAGTTCAAGGCAGCATGGACGCTAATCTAACCTGATTAGGTCAGAGGAGATGAAAGTTCAGCTCCAGGCTAGATGACAGTAAATAGTGGCAAGATCCAGTTGCTTTGAGGAGTGGGAAGGGAAAGCAGAAGGGGCCCTTCTTTGCTTACCAGATGCTTCTGAGAGGATTTATATAAGATGTAAGTCTAATGGGAAGAAGGCTGCATTAACAGCTCAAAAGTGGAAGAGGCTGCAGCAGGGAGCAGGTAAGTTTCCTATCTCTGAAGAGCTTTTAAGACAAGGCTGGACAATAACTTGTTAAGAATACTGCACAGGTGATTCCTACTCTGGTATGAACTGGATTAGATGACCTGTGAAATCCTTTTTCACTCAGACTTAAGGCAGCAGAATGGGAAAAAGTGCAGTGCACAAGTGGTCTGTTGGAGCAGGAGCCAAGTGAGGAGGCTGGGAAGAGAAGCATAAGAAGAAGGAAACCTAATGGAAAGAGCCTGGCTATATGAAAAGAAGGTGAGATCAGATCAGAAAAGCTACCAGAAGCTACAGAAGAAAACAAAGATAAGCAAACACACAGAAGCAAATAAAAGATAACTTGAGAAGGGAGAGAGAACTAACAACTGAGGGGATTGGGGGGACAGGGAGACTTTCTATAGAGGGCAGCACCTAAGCTAAGCCTTGAAAGAAGCTAGGCATTTTCAGAGTATTCCAGGCATGGAGACAGCCTACACAAAGGAATGGAGGTGAGAGATGGAATGCCAAGCAAAGAGAACACCCAGTTGTCCATTTGGGCAAGAATGTGGAGTACAAAGAGTAATCACAACTAAGCCTAGAAAGGTAAGTTGGAACCAAACTGTAGGAGCCAGCATACCAAGTTTGTGGTTTATCCTTGAGGCAATAGGGAGCCATTGAAGATTTTTAGGAGGGAAGTGACATGGTCAGACTTGTGCTTTAATAAGATTATTTTAGTAGATGCATAAAAGAAGGCTTGGTGAGAGAGAGAGAGAAGGGAGAAGTGAGGGAAGGATTCAGAGAAAGAGACAGACTAGAAGCATGAAGACCACTTAGGATGCCATTATAATAATTTGGGTTAGAAGTGATGAGGGTCCAGCTAGGGGAGTTATATGAGTGGGATGAATGTAAGAGATGTAGTGGAGATAGACACAAGCAAACCCATGGGCAGGAGAGAAAAGTCCATTAGGTAAAGAGAGGTTAAGCAAGAGAGAAACAGGGATGGGGAGTGTGACTTAAGGGGGCAAGCTCCAGGAGGACAGGATGGCATAGAAGAAACAGTCTCAGCAGCCGTCAAGGAGTTTATATTCTACTAGGGAATACAACACATACATGGGTAAGTACAAGGTAACTTGGTGGAAGCACAGAACATTCACAACTGCAGGAACAGAAAGACTGATGTGGTAGCTTATGAGCTGGTCCACGAAGGAAGACAAGGATTCTGAGAGTGGGAGCAAATGAATGAAGCTGCATTTGCAGAGGAGTAGAACTCCCAGACATACAGAGGAGATAGAAGGTAATCTCAGAGGGAAAGGCCCCAGCAATTAGGAAAGACAAGGATGGGCCTCCAGCAGGAGACGGGATTTGAACGGAGTCTTTTATTTCCCCTAGTTTATTTTATTTTTTAAAATTTTTTGGGTTAGATTTTGAGTCCCAAATTGTCTCCCTCTCTTCCTCCCAATCCCACATCCATTTGCTATATAGATCTCTGTGCAGAACTATATAGAACATAATTCCATATATCAGTTCTTTCTCTGGAGGTGGACAGCATCTTCCTTCTTAAGTCCTTTGCAGCTAATTTAAGTGTTCCTATTACTCAGAATAGCTTATTTGTTCAGTTTTTTTTTTGAACGGTATCACTTGTTATTGTATATAGCATTCTCTTGGTTCTGCTCATTTCACTCTTCATTATTTCATGCAAATCTTTGCATGTTTTTCTAAAATCTACCAGCTCATCATTTCTTATAGCACAGTAGCATTCCATCACAACCATATACCACAACTTGTTTAGCCATTCCCCAATTGATGGGCATCCCTTCAATTTGCAGTTCTTTGCCACCACAAAGAGAGCTGCTATAAATATTTCAGAACATATAGGTTCTTTTCCTTGGGAAAGAAACCTAATAGTGGTATTGCTGGGTCAACGGGTATATACAGTTTTATAACTCTTTGGGCAACAGGGAACCAGTGAGGCTTGTGAATAGGGAAGGAACAGGACCAGATGCGCCAGGTTACTATTCTGACAGCTATGAGGAGGATGAGTTAGAGAGGGAGAAAAGGTTAGAAGCAAGGGCCTAATGAAGAGGCTACTGTGACAACACAAGAATGAGATGACCAAGCTCTGAACTGTGGTAGTGGCCTTGAGAACGGAGAGGAGACAGATCTGAGAGATGGGGTGAGGGGGAGGAGGCTCGTTAACTTCCAAGTACTGAGTATGGTGACTAGGAGGAGAGCAGGAGTGATCTCCACAGAAATAAGGTTTGGAGAAGTGGCAATTTTGGGGAAAACACGGGTTCCATTTTGTTTATACTGAATTTGAGACACCGATCAAGGCAGACATCCAGTAGGAATTTTGTGATATAGGAGACAAGTGTTCAGAAGAGAGCTTTAGGCTGGATATATAAATCTGGGAATCATCTACAGATAGATGTTTTCCTAACAAAACTCAGCAGCTTGAGTGCCAGGGACCATATCTTATGCTTCTTGTCAGTCAGTTAATAAACATTTATCAAGCATTTACTGTGTGCCAGGCACTTTGCTAAGCACTGAGGGACACAAAGAGAGAGAGAGACAGACAGACAGACAGGCAGGCAGACAAAAGACAGGCCCTGCCCTTGAGGAGCTCATAATCTGACAGAGAGACAACCTGCAAACAACTATGTACCTACAAGACACACACACACACACACACACACACACACACACGATAAATAGGAAATAATCAACAGAGGGAAGGGACTAGCATGAAGAGGAATCAGGAAAGGCTTCTTATTGATCTCCCATGGCATTAGAACAAGCACAGGATTGGACACACAGTAGGTACAAGAGGATACAGTATCCAGTTCTAGGCACCACATTTTAGGAAATTGAAAAAGTTGGAAAGTATTAAGAGTAGGATTATTCTTCTGTTTCAGAAGCCGATAGTTCTTAAAACCACATTCCATGAAGACTAACTGGGGCAAATGGAACTGTTCAACGTGGAGCAGAGAAGATCTAGTGGGGACTGGGGAAAGGCTGCTGTCTTCACATAGTCAGAACTAGCTACTCCACAGAAGGGAAGTTAGCTTTGTGTTGCTTAGCTCCAGAGGCCAGATGGGGGCCCATGGGCAGAAGTTACAGGGAAGTCGATTTTGGCTCAATATAAAAGAAACGCTTCCTACAATCAGAGGCCCAGAAGAGGAGTGGTCTGCCCAGCCCCAGCTCCCTTACCCCCAGGGATTCAACTGAAGAGCATCACTGTTGGACTGTTGCTTCCCAGTGACCAACAGAGGAAGAATGGTGTGATAGCTCAACAGATTCTTCAGGGGCAACAGGCAAAGTTCTCTGTTTGCTCTGCCACCCTTGTTTCTGGGCCCTTTCAATCACGTGTGCTCAGCTTTCTGTTTCAAATCTGCTTCAGCCCAGCAGTGCAGGGTTTTTTTTGTTTTTTGTTTTTTCTTTTTGTTTCTGTTTTTTTAATTTAAAAGACTATCTGTATCACAGCATCCCTAAGAAAGAAAGGATGTGGAATTAGAGATTTGGCAACCCTGCTGATGACACCAGGGGCACAAATATGCAGCTCCTCCACCCTCTTTCTCTCCAGATTCTATAGCTAGCTGACAATCAGGAATACTAATTCTGAAATCTTAGTCTCGAGTTGCCCAAAGCAGGCAAATCACATGTCAGAGCTGGAAGGGACCCAAGAGACAGTCTGTCTACATCCTTTGTTTTATAAAAGAGGAAACTGAGGCCCAATGGCACAAGGTGACCATCCCAAGGTGACTTAGAGACAGAGGCAAGACTAAAATCCTCCCCAATCCCTCCTAGTACATTTTCCACTATAGCATACTCATTATGTTTCATGAGCACAAATGTACAATAAGCACAAGCACACTTCACACGACATTGCCTTAACAAAAAGCAGCAGTGTTAACTTCCTGAATGCCAGCTTTCCACCATCATAAGGCTACCTGAGAGTGCACAAATAGCATACTCTTGGGACCAAATGTTCTTCTCTTAGCTTTGTTCTGCCTAACGTACTTTCACCAAACTACTAAGTGACAGGTCAGGGGGTGGGGGAAGACTGGCCTTTAGAACAGGACCTGTGTTCTCTGTTCTTGTGTGCCCCAATACCCATAGCAGTGGCTGGGTACAAAGTATGCACTCAATCAAGACTTCCATTAGATTGTAAGCTTCTCACAGGGATGGATGGTCTTTTTCTTTATGTAGAGTTTGGCACAGTGGCCAGCATACAATATGTGCTTAATACATGTTTACTGACTGATCCCTAACTAGGGGCTTCTTCTCCACCCACTGCGCCATTACCACTCCTACCTGATCATGATCAATGTCAGCATCTCCTGTGATCACAATTCTTTTTTCAATCCGGGTCTCTGAGATCCCACCTTTTACGGTCTAAAATCAAAGGGAAATGGTTATTAGGGACTTTCAATGCAAAAGGGGGAAATTTTAAATCTGTACTGCTTAACGACTGAATCTGTATTTTTTATCCTTTTCTCCAAGATCTTGTTTGGAACTGTTACAATGATCATATAACTGAGCTCTTTGGACCCCTGAAGTCTTCAATACAAAAATTCTTTTCCTTTTTTCACTCATGTTCTCTTCTCAGTTTCAGTGATTAAGGAAAGCTACCATAGAAGAGGCAAGAGGAGGAGCGTAAAGAGCTCTGGACTTGGAGTCAGAAGCCCTGAGTTCTAGTCCCAGGCCTCAATCAAATCACCTCCCCTCTTTGGGGCTCAGCTGCCTTCCCTCTAAAAGGAAGGAGGTAGAGAGGCAGCATGTTACAGCGCATGGAGAGCTGGTCTCAGAATCAGGGGAATCTGGATTGCTTCAAGGTTTGCAAAGTGCTTCTTTACATCTATTATCTTACTTCACCCTCATAGAAACCCTCAAAGGCAGGGATTTTTATTATCTCCATTTTACAGATGAGGAAACTGAGGCAGATGGTAGCGACATGATTTTCCCAGAGTCACACAGCTAATAAGTGTCTGAAGCAGGATTTGAATGCAGGTCTCCCTCCTGACTCTAGACCCAACACTTTGCTCTTTCTACATATTTTGGTTAGAGGGACAACAGGAAAAGAAAACGATAGCTCATATTTATGCAGAATAAAGCACTACTCACTATGATCCTGTGAGGCAGACCATGCAAGACTGTCTTACAATACCATTACAGACAAGTTTAATCATTCCCATTTTACAGATGATGAAATTAAAGCTCAGAGCCTTTAAGCGACTAAGTTCAACATCTGGAAGTGATGGAGTCCAGGTTCTCACCCAGATGCAACTTCACAGAGCTGAACACTGAATAAATGCATTAATGAAAAGCATTCCTTAAGCCCAGAGCCAAATGCCACTTGAGCAGGGGGATACAAGCGAGGCACTTCCTGACCTGGGAGGACACAACTCCACAGAACACAGTGGGGGCCCTAGACGAGTTTTTGGTTCAAGAAATCACCCCGATGGGGAACGCCACAGGGCTCCGGCTTCCTTTGGGATTGATGTTTTTAGCCTCTTGCCCAGTGCTTGGCACATAGGATCTTTCATCCAAAGTGTTCTTCTGAGAGGCGCAGGTTTAAATGATGAGGTCACTGGGGAACAGCTCAGCATCACATCTGCTAGTTTTCTCAGGGCCCAAGGATATAGTTCTCCCTAATAATCCTTACTTGCTTTTTCATTTCCAGTTCAAAAATCCTTCTTGCTGGCAGAGCAAAGAGAAGTAAAGTAATAGCTGGGCAGGTCTCTCTCCTCCCTGCTGGCGGTCATTACTGCTCCACCCACCCTAGCAATGGCCTTATCTCTTCTCTCCCCTACTTTGCTGTTCCAAGCTCTCCTCGTCCCCGGGCCACTGGTCTTGGCACTCTCTGTCATTGCAGAAGTCTGGGAGGGGAATCGAGGAGCCCAGACAAAGAGGGACTGGCTCTGCATTCACTGTTCTCAGGGACAGCCAGACCAAGTGGGATGTATTATTACAACGAGGCTCTTCTCTGGCAGCTCCCCGCTGACAATACAGGAGCCGAGCAGGGCAGCCTTTCCCTAGCGCTACCCTGCCTAAGAAGCCCCAAGCTCTCACGGGGACGCAGGGTGGGCATTCCTACCTCAACAAGTATGTTTTTTGAAGCCTGAGCCACATCAAACAGCCTCCCCCTCTTGGCAGCAGGTTGTAGAGTAGACTGGAATGAGGAAGAGACTTGAAACAGGAAGGCCACTTAGGAGGCTGTGGCAATAATCCAGGCAACAGGTGAGGAGGGCCTGAACTAAGATGGCAGCTGTGCCACTGCCTCATCTGGGACAGAGATCAAAGAACTTATCCATACCCAACGTCCTTTGCCATTTGTTGAATGTACAAAGTTGGGTACAAGCAGTGGTTGCAGTCAGGGACATATCTTTAAAATGGCCTTATGACTTTGAATTCCCCACAGAATTCCCACTTCCACCTTCAAGTCCTAGCCCTGAAATTTCTGCTTCACACTTCCCCTGTGGCTAACTCAGAAAATGGTAGAGTTGGAAGGAGACTTTGAGTTCATCAAGTCTGAATAGGTTGAGTAAACTGGGGTTCCAAGGGTAGTGATTGATCAAGGTCACAGCACTAGGACCAGGACCTGTGGCTTCCAGGACTCCCAATTCAGTACTCCTTCTCTTACACTATGATGTCTCAACTGCTGCCTTTCCCAGCCAGTCCACAAAGATCCTGACGGGCAGTTCAACAAATCAGTAACTAAAGTGGACAAAGAATATTAAGAGCTCCCTTCTTCCCAACTTTCCTGTTTCTGATGGGGGTCCCATTATTCTTCCAGTGTCTCAGGTTTCTAATCTTGGCATCCTCCTTGGCCTTATTCATCCCATCACCTGCCAGCTCTTGCCATTTCTACCTAGACAATATCTCTCACTTCCAACACCTCTCCACTCACACAGCTGCCATCTTATTTCAGGTCCTCATCACCTCTTGCCTCCTGCCTTCAAGTCTCTTTCCCATTCCAGTCTATTCTGTAACCTGCTGCCAAAGTCATTTTCCTTCAGCGAAGACCTGGCTATGTGACCTCCCCTTCTCAGCCTACTCCAGTGGCTTCCTAGAACCTCTAGAATATAAGCACTCTGTTTAACTTTGGAAGTCCCACCTTCCCTCTGGAGCCTCACATGACGTTATTCCCCATCCTCCCCTCTGAGCTCCAGCCAAACTGGCTTCCTTTGGCTCCTCTCTCACCACACTCTGGTCATCTCTCATGCCTGGAGGGCACTTCCTATTTACTTGGCTGCATAGGTTCCTTCTCTTCACTGAATATTCAACTTAGACACCATCTTCTTCAAGGAGCCTTTTCTGACCCACCAACTGCTGCAAGTACCCTCCTTCCTCTTAAAACTACCTTGCATTTTTGTATGTGTGTGTGCATACGTATTTAACTTGACATTTATAATGTACATATTTTTCTATATATTTGTCTCTCATTAAAATATAAGTTCATTTTGAGTAGGAATTGTTTCATTCTTTGGACTTGTATCCCCAGTGTTAGGCACTGCAACAATTAATAAATATTTGACACTGATAGTGCTTTCTGGCTGACCAATGTCCAGGGTAAGTAATGAAATTATTATTATCTCCATTTGATGGCTGAGGAAACTGAGACCAAGAGAAGATGTGATTTTTCTCAAAATAAGCTTTGTAGCTGGGACTTGAACATGGGTTTGTTTTTCTTATTACATATAAAACACTTAAAAAATTATATCATACCCATCTCCTTGGGACCACTAGGAAGGGATCTCTCAGTGTCTCCTACCTTTCCCCACAGGGCACTTTAATGTGCTATTGTAGAGATCAGTATTCAGCCTCTAGGCAGGAAGCAGAGTTTGGAGTAATTGTGCTTGGGGGACAAGGTGGGACTCCACACTCCACACACTCTGGGCCAAAGTGTTTTGGGGAAGAAAGCAGTCAATTCAGCACCCCAGCAGGTACCAGCCTCCCTTTCTACAATAGTACATTACCTTGGTAATCTGAGTTGTGGTGGTGCTGCTTGTGGTCTCTGATGTAATGGTCTGAGCTGTCAGCAGGACACCAGGGTCTAAGTCAACACTGCCCTCCTCAGTCTGCAGGGAGAACCATATACTGCCATTAAGCATCTCAGTGGGTAAGACGACAGGCCTACGAAGACAGAGCATCTGCTGCTCCCTCAGCTCAGCTGCACATTTTAAAATAATAACCTAAGTTCTGTAAAATAAACCTTTGACTATCAGTCCCTCTGACAAAGTCAGCCTGAGTAAGGAAAGGATGGATCCCTTCAGTGGCTAAAGAGGCAGTGGCAATCTAAGGTACAGACCCTGAACATGGGCTGGGATGTGACCCTGGCTGATGGCCAACACCACTGGAGTCCCATGGCCTGGCTGCCTGGGCATGGGACCATCCTGAGAGAGGCAGAAAACCACTGGAAACAGAGAAGAAACATCTGATGGAGCCTAGGTGTTATGGAGAAGGAATCCACATCTTACAGCATATCTCTGTACTTTATATTATTTCTACCCTTGTTGACCAAGTTTCTAAAAATGAGACAAGGGAAATTCAACCAATTCACTTAAAGAAGAGCTGACAAGGCATCTCTCCTACAGAGTTAAACTTTTATGAAGACAAAAGCAAGGAGCTCCAAAGCTGTTTTTCATCTGGAGGCGCTGCATCTGGTTTGGACAGGTAGTCTCCCTCATTAGAATAGAAGTTCCCTGAGAGCAGGGACTGTTAGTATAGTTTTTCTGTTTTCCATAGTTAATTGATCTACTTATTGATTACAGAATAGTCTGGAGGATGAAGTGAGGAAGACAGGAGGGGATAGGACAGGAGGAAAGGAAAGAGGAGAGGAGAGAAGGGGAAAGGAGAGGAAAGAAGAGGAGGGAAGAGGGGAGGAAAGAGGAGGGGAGAGAAGAGGAAAAGGAGAAGAGGGGAAGGGAGAAGAAAAGGAGAAAAAAGGAGAGGAAAGGAGAGGAAAAGGAGAGGGAGAAGAGAGGAGGGGAGAGGAGAGGAAGGGAAAGGAGAGGAGGGGAAAGGAAAAGAAAAGGAAAGGAGAAGAGAGGAGAGGAAAAGGAGAGGAGAAGAAAAGAAGAGGAGAGAAGGGGAGGGAAAAGGAAAGGAGAGAAAAGGAGAGGAGAGGAGAGAAAAAGGAGAGGAGAGGAGAAGAGAGAAGGGGAGAGGAGAGGAAGGGAAAGGAGAGGAGGGGAAAAGGAGGGAAGAAGAGGAGAGGGGAGGGAAGAGGAGAGGGAGAGGAGAGGAGGGGAAAAGGAGGGGAGAAGAGGGGAGGGGAGGGAAAAGGAGAGGAAGGGGAGAGAAGAGGAAAAGGAAAGGAGAGGAGGGGAGGGGAAAGGAAAGGAGAAGAGAGCAGAGGAAAAAGAGAGGAGAAAAATGGTGAAGACTTGAGAGATTAAATACGTGAAGAGAGGAATTAGACTTCCTGTGCCTGGCTTCAGAGGGCAGAACTAGGAGCAATGGGTCTCAAAGAGGCACACTGAAGCTTCTAAAACAGGAAAAACTCCCTCACTCTTGCAGCTGTACAAAGGTGGAATGACCCACCCCCCCACCCCCACCCCCAGCCCCAGAGATTTTCAGCCACTTGTGGGATGTGTTGCAGGAGGATTATTTTTCAGGCATGATTTGGAGTCAATGGTTTCTAAAGTCCCTTCTAACTTTGATATTCTGTGATTCTCTGGAGTCACTGGGCTCTGTTCAGCTTTGACACTGCCTGCAGTTCAGTATCTCTATTGGGGATATCTGGATGGAGGACATCCAATCTTCTCCTGTAGAAAGAAAGGGCTGACTGTTCCCTGAACAGGGAAGGGAATGCCACTGCTCACTGATCCCCCTCTGCAGGGGGAATGCTGGGAAACAGCAGAAAGTGAAACAAAGGATCGGATGGTAAGGGTGGTAGTTCTTTACCAGCCAAAGAAGTACCTAGTAGAGCAAGGAACCAGCAGACAAGCATTTATTAAGAATTCATGTGCCAGGTTATGGAAAAAATGAAACAGACCCTGCACTCAAGTAACTCACGTTGTGTTGGGCGAGACAATATGCATGCATATAATACTAGCTAACATTTATGTAGAACCTACCATGTTCTATGTGCCAATGCAAGCACTTTACAATGATTATCTCATTTGTATCTACAAATACATACACATTTATAATTAGTATGTACAAAAGAAATACAATGTAATTTTTGGGGAGACGGTATTAGAGCTGGGCATTGAAAGAACTAGGGATTCTAGGAAGCAGAGGTGAAGAATGAGCACGTTCTGGGCATGCAGAGCTGAAGATGGGAGAAAGCATGTGGTACATGAAGAACAGCAAGAGAAAGTTGTCTCAGCTGAATAGCTGTAGACTATTTCAAGTAATGCATAACACCACTGGGCAGGAGGGTTGAAGCCAGGCTGTGAAGAATTTTAAATGACAAAGGAGTCTGCATTTGATCCTAGAGGTAAGAGAGAACCCTAACAGTTTATCTGAACAGGGATCTAGGATGATAGTTTTAAAGCTGGAAGGGCCCTTAGTGTCCTCAAGTCCAGCCTCTTCCTCATGGTAGAGGGGACCATCTGAAGGGGCTGGCAGGGATTAAGTGACTAGTCCAGGGTTGCAAAGCTTGCAAGTGTCCAAGGTGGGATTACAGCCCAGGTAAGTAACATGATCAAACCTGTGCTCTAGGAATACACTTTGGCAGCTGTATGTAGAATAGCATAGAGAGGAAAGAGACCTGAAGCAGGGAGAGGCTGCTGCAAAATCTAGGTGAGCTATGATGATGGCCTGAACAATGGTGGTGACCTTACCAGTGGAGAGAAGGCAACAAATACAAGAGGTATTGGGGAGATAGGATCAGCAAAACCTGGCAACTGATTGAATGGCTAGAGCATGACTCCAAAGCTGTCAACCTTCCTGGATCCCAGTCTGCTGGCTCGGCCCAGATCTAAGCCAGCCACAGAGTGGTCACTTGCCAGTGCCCTAACATTTTCCTCAAACAAAACACTTTATACGTGAACCTCATCTTCTTTTCCCCCAAAATTTTGATTTTTCTGCTGCAGATACCACAATCCTTTTCATCATCTAGGTTCTCAACCTTGAAGTCACCCTTAATTCTCCCCCATATTCCATTAGTTGTCAAGTCTGACCAGTGCTACCTTCTTCACCCATCTCCTATCCCTTTCCTTGGTCACCACACTAGTTCAGGCCACCCTCATTCCTTAAGTGGAATATGGCTGCAGCCTCCTAAGCGGGCCCACACAACTTCCAGTCCCTTTCCGACCTGTCCACACAGCTACCAAAGCAATCTTCCTTTAGCACAAGTCTGACCACATCACTGCTCTCCTCAAGCACTTTCAGTGGTTCCCTACTGCCACTGCTTTTAGGAAAAAAAAATACTGATGCCTTAGCTTGGCCATGTAAAATCTTCGCGAATTGGCTCCAGCCTACCTTTCCAAGCTTATAACTTGATGGTTTTGGAAACAGGAAGGAAGTGAGTCCATGACAAACTGAAAAAAAGGCTGACAGGACTTATCAATGAATTAGATGTGGAAAAGGCTGAAGGAGAGAAGAGACAAACATCAATTCAAGATGGTGAAACTGGGTGCTGGGTGGGGGGGCGCTTATAGTGCCCCTGAGGAAAGAGGTAAGGCTCAGTCCCCTTTCACACTCTCCACATTCCGGCCGAATTGTCCTATTTGCTTTCATCCACCTTGGTCCTCCAGCTCCTGCTTCTGTGACTGCCTAAGTGGCCCCCTTCCTACAATACTCTCTTCTGCATTTCTGCTTCATTCCAGACTCACTTCAGGCCCTACTTCCTGAGAAAGACTTCTCAACCTCCTGTGGTCAGTGCTCTCTCCCTAATACAATTATCACCTATATACTTATCTGTTTATATAGTATCCCAGCCCCAAGTAAGAAGCGTGTAAACTCCTTGAGGGCAGCACTGTTTTTCATTTTCTCTGTATCCCTAGCACCTAACGCAGCTCCTGAACTTGGGCACCAAGCACTCACTGGCCAGGGAGATGAAAGCATTGGGGCAGAGTCCTCTTACACAGCTTATGAGTTCCCCCTCCATGTCCCCTTACCTTCTTGTTATGTCCCTGCAAAGAGCAGAAGTGGGAATGACGATGTTCTGGTTTCTTCCCTATCTGTACCTGTCCCATGGGCAGCAGCCTCCTTTCCTTGACCCCTTTTCTAAGGTGTCACCAAACCCCCCAGGCGAGGCTGAAAGGACACCTATTAGTCCCAAGAATAACAACCCAATTTAAAGAAAATAAAATTAAGGCTAGTAGACTTTTTAAGAACTTGCTTCTTGTTAAAAATTTATTTATTTTTAGTTTTCAACATTCACTTTTATAAAATTTTGAGTTCTAAAATTTCCTCCCTCCCTTTCCCTCTCCCCAAGACAGGCCTGTAATCTGATATATGCTATACATGTACAATTATATTACACAAATTTCCATATTAGTCACGTTGTGAAAAAAGATTCAGAACAAAAGGGAAAAACCATGAGAAAGAAATAAAAAAGAAAGAACACAGTATGCTTCAATCGGCATTCAGACTCCACAATTCTTTCTCTGGATATGGATAGCATTTTTAATAATGAGTCTTTTGGAATTGTCTTAGATCTTTGCATTGCTGAGAAGAGCTAAGTCTATCAAAGTTGGTCATCACAGAACATGGCTGTTGTTGTGTACAATGTTCTCCTGGTTCTGCTCACTTCACTCAGCATCAGTTCAAGTAAGTCTTTCCAGGTTTTTCTGAAGTCAGCCTGTTCATCATTTCTTATAGCTCAATAGTATTCCATTACATTCATATACCACAACTTGTTCAGCCATTCCCCAATTGATGGGCATCCCCTCAATTTCCAATTCTTTGCCACCACAAAAAGAGCTGCCATAAATATTTTTGTGCATGTGGGTCCTTTTCCCTTTGTTTATGATCTCTTTAGGATCAATACCTAGAAGTGGTATTGATGGATGAAAAGGTATGCACGGTTTTATAGCTCTTTGGGCATAGAATAACTTGCTTCTTTCTCCTAAACCATCCCTTCTAGCAGTTCTCCCCAATCCAGATAAGCTTGCAAAGTATAATATGGTAGTGAGACATGTCTGAAGAGGACCTAGGCTACCAAGCGTTTCCTAGTTCTCCAATGGCACTGTGAGTCCCCCAAGCACCCAGGTTCACAGTCTTGAATTCATGGTCAGCTCCTCTATATCTGACTCACTAAGTGCTCTCAGCCTTTTCTTACCCACAGTTTGTTATGGACTCACTTCTTCCTTCCTACTTCGAAAACCATCGCTTAAGTCCAAGTCTTCAACACCTTATTTATGCCTGGACGACCTTGCTATTGTTCTGCCTCCGCTGTCACCATCAAACATTGACTTTATCTTGTCACTCCACTAACACCCAACAGTGATTCTCTATTATCTATCCCATCCAAACTTTTCTGCCTGATCTTCAAAACCTCCCATAATCTACCTGCATTATCCTTGGCCACTATTCTCACCAGCTCAGCAACCTCATTTTTTAAATTTTATTTCCAACACAGACTCACTAACCTGGCAATCAAATTGGCTCTCTATGTATTCTGCATCCAGTCTAAATACATTCTGTTGACTGATAAATGAAAGGTAATTTTCCCCTTCTGAATCTATGAACAACAAAAACAGTAAATAAATGCCACCTGCTAGAAGTACGGAGAAGAATTTGATTATAAGTAACTGAAGATTTAGATTTAAAAAATGGTATCTTACCTGGGCAGCCTCATAAGTGATGGTTTTTGTCTCAGTGTGAACAATGGGGACATCTTTGGTTGGGATTTCACTTTTCCCAGCATTAGTAACATCCGAGATGGTGACTGTCTGAGTCTTTACCAGGGGAGGCTACGAAACAGTGGAAAAGCAAAATTACTTATGTCCTTTCTGAGGGAAACAGCCCGCCAACCTTCTGACACTGACCTGATCAAAGTTTCAGGGCCTTGGCAAACAAAAAAATCCAATTCAGAATCCCAAAAGTTGTTTGCACAGGATTTGCAAATCATTCTGCAGTAGTTTTAATAAAGTGTCAAATCATAAGGGATGGTAAAGAATTATATTCCTATAATAACCTGTGTATGCCTAATGAAAAAACAAAGTAGCCATAAGATCTTGCAGTTAAAATGAACGAATTGAAGCATTTTGGATTGGTTTCAGAGCCAAAATTTGAATTCAAAACTGTTGCCAAATAGCAATTATTTTGTTTCCTCCTTGTAACCGTATCACTGCAATCAAAAAAAAAAAAATTGCCCATACATTTCCTCCCTTAAGTCCAAATGATGCATGAACAACAGTGACCTTGGAATTCATTAACTCTTTTCAAATCAATGTCAGATGTTCACTTTTGAGTTCTTGAAAGGAAACGGTATTCGGAAAGCTGTAAAGAGAAAAATCAGTTATGCCACCACCTGGTGATTAATATCAGAAGGACAAAGATTAGTGGAAGAAGGGAAGGCCATCTTCGCCAAATCAGCTCACCTTTCCCCAGTTGGTAAATCACTCTGAAAGCTGCCCCTTGATCGTGTAGGGGTTACATGGTCATCTACTTCAGCATAAATGATTAGTACCAATGATCACTAGAACCCACTTGTCTTTCTCCCTGGGATGGGAATGGTGGAGGGTAACAGAACAAAGTAAATAATGAATATTATCAGCAACTTACAGAGTCAGATTTTGTGACTGAGATATACTCCTATTTTAGGCCTGAAATAATCTTGGTGAGGAACCAGCTATTCTTTTTCAACAGAGCTGGTTATATTTTCTGAACAATTGCAGTTATCAAAAACATAGACGTCTCACAATTTTACCTTTCTTTATAAATCTACATTTGAGCCAAGAAAGGTAGAGTGCCCTTTTTAAAAGTCCCTATCAAAGTCTATGTAATGATCACGACAGGGCTTATTTAGACGAGTTTTGCAAATTAGCTGGAAAAAAAAATCAATTTTTGCCTTGGAATTCCTCTGAGAAAGACTCTAGAATTCTTTAATCAGAAAAGCAAGAAATAAACTGCTCCCATTACCATCCCAGGGAGAGTTCTGGCCCTCTCCCAAAGAGAGGCATTTGACCCAAACCATTACTACCTGGAAACTTCGAATGAGGGTGGGGAACCCTGAACCCATGTGAAAGTCAGGATATGGTCCATTTTGCTTCCCAGGTTGCTCATTTGGTGTAACATGGTCTTCACCACTCTCTGCCTCTTTTTCACCAGTGTACAGCTGACAGGAAGCAGGTGTGTCTGAGAGCATGCACTTCGAGAGCTTTAAGGCACCAGCTTGCTCTTCTACACCTGTACATACCCCATTTGGACAACTTTGCATCTCTTTGTTATCAAAGAGACCAGCTGACCCATGTGCCTTGTCTTCTGCCTCCTTGACGTTTATGGAGACAGGCCCAAAGTCGTGGCTTTGTAGAGACTCCGAGGGGGTTGTCATTTGGGTCCCACTATGAGCTACTGAATGCTCAAGGCCCTCCCATTCAGAGTCAAGGTTTCGTTTCTCTGTCACTGCATCCACTTCCTCTTTAGGAATGTCATTCATAGTCTACAAGTGAATGAATATACACAAAGGCAAGAAGATAATATTAGGAATAAAGGGGGAACGCTTCGAATTAATAGAAGCAGATGGTCTTAAAGGAAGACCAAATCTTTTGCTATTCCTGTGGATTTTTAAGGGTGGAAATAACAATAACATTGGCATAAGCCAAGAACTCCTAGCTTTCATAGGTTTCAGAACCAAGAACTATTGCTAGGGATGGTCCATGCAGCCAGAGTCACTGCAACTACCAGGAAGGTGCTGCACTCTAATTTCAGTCAAGCATTTGTGTAGACCTTTATATAATTAGTCTGAAGAATTTGGGGGATATATCTTGCTCAGTATCAAGCACCCTCTGGGTTTCCCTACATGATTTCTTTGGTGCCTAGAAAAATCAATTTGTCACTCCTAAACATTCATTTCCCAGGAAGGATCTGAGCACAGAGGAGGTTTCACCTCATTAAGGAATTCATATATATTCTTGAGAATGATAATTTAAATAAAATGCTGGTTGAGTTGCATCACCTAATCCTGATTCACCATCTTAAAAGTTGATTGATCACTGTACTAGCTCCTGATGGCACCATCAGGCTTATGATCCAGATTTCCCTTTGCCTGCCAACAACAGAGAAGCTGTGTTAGTATATGGATGCCCAAGCACTGACCAACTGCAATCAATGTTATAGCATCAATTTCAATACTAATGTTCAAATGCCTTTTTTATATTTTTAAGAAAACTCCCTAAAGAGGCTTTACTGAAGATGGGCAAAAAATATGACTTGAAATGATCCAACACCAGGGAAAGACTACCATCTGGCAGATGAACTATGTAATATCTCCAAGAAATATAGAATACCTTAGGGATTAGGAACCATGGTTTACTCTTAGGCTAGTGGCTAAATACCTTGTCATAAATGAATGCTTCAAAGCAATCCTGTATCAGTATTTTCTGCAGCAGTAGAAAGTAATCTAGCTAACCCTAAAACTCTCAGGAAGGTGACAAAAATGGCAAGAATTGGTCGGGGAGAAGAGACACAAGTGACATAAATAAGAAAGCAGGATTAGCCATCTGAGCAACAAACAACCTTAAGAAAGCCAAACAACATCAGAGTCAGCTAGCACTGGTTTGCTGGCAACATTCTGAAAAAACAGCCCACATTATGACGATGCCTGCATGTTGGTTTAGGAAAAGAGTCCTTTTAGCACTGCTCACATGATTCATGAACTTAATACTAAAGTGACTATCTTTAAAAACCGTTTTAAAAAACAGTTCAGCTAAACCATTTATACTTAGAAAACAATTTAACATTTTAGTTCTTCCAACAAGATGTGAATATGGCAATTAAAAAAAAAGACAGTTTCTCATTAAAGCATATATCATTCCTAGAATGTAACAGTAACCCTGAACAGTAGCTCTATGAATTTAAGAAAGAAAGCTTATAACCTAGGAATGTCATTCTTAAGCCATGTCTAGAAACCTTACACTTAATTGCCTACCATCTTAAACTGTAGGACAACTAATACTAGAAAAAATTAGGTTCAGATCAGGTTAGTCTTGCATTGATCAAGAATGAATATTATCTAGTATGTAAAAGACAGATCTGAGAGAGGGACACAACTAGGAGCTGTGAAGTTTGACTTCTTAGTGGCCTCTTTGCCAAGGATATCTGACATAATTGCACCATACTGCTTTCTAGGGGAGCTGACCACTCTTTTCTTGATGGTTAAGCCACCCTGACATAGACCCACTTAAGAAACAGAATTGCTGGGAATAAACAAATGAGTCCTAACAGGGCAGTATACCAGGGTCTACATTCTTGAATATACATGCCAACTTTTATTCTATGCAGATCAACATGAGGATTCTTATGCATTATTACGACTCTTTGCTAAATAAGAAATGATTTAATTTGAATGGCTAAAAAATATTCCAGGCAAACCAGTCTATTAAAAAAAAAAGAACCAAATTTACATCACCCTGATTAATGAGAGGACAGGTGACAGTCACATCAAGGTGCCATCTGGGAATGAAATATCACTTAGAGTAATGAAAAATTTTTCTAAAGCATACATCTAAAACACACATAGAGTGGCCAAAGATAAAGGTGGTACCCATAGTAAAGACTTTGAAAGTTGGTACAGGGTCAGTTCAGTTACTTTGAGAACCACTGCTTTTGTCTTGAACTATTCCACACAGAACAAGCATGCCAAGAAAGGACATGAGAACACAGGAATTGACAGAACCATGATCTGTCCAGCTAAGCATTCAGTTTCTGAAGTAACACTAAGGAACAGAGAACCACAGGATGTCAGAGACGGAAGGGACTAAGGCCGTCATTTTATAGATAAGATAACTAAGATGCAGAGAGCTTAAATAACAGGTCTGGGTGGTGTGGAAGGGCTTTTTCTTTGACATACCTCAAAAGAACAGGGATGTACCCCAAGCTAGCTTCTGTTTGAAATAATATTTGTTAAGGAACACAAAGGACGTCTAAAGCTCTAATCTAAGGATAATCTATCCTAGTGGCTGACATTTTTCTCCTAGGTATCAGAAAGATAGTCGACCCCAATGGAAAGATCTTGGTAGATGGAAAGTCCACAAAGCTTCCATAACACAAGATTAATCAACCATCTTAAACACTGAGATTTTATGGACAATGCTGTGTCTTAGCTAAGATAGTGAGCAAAGTTCAAAAGATGACATGATGAAAGACACTATATATCTGTATATATTAAATTAGAAAGCTAAAGAGAACCTTCCAAGAGAAGCCTAAATTATCAAGATTTGAACCACTGACATGTTGTAATGGGGCTGATCAAAAATTTAATGTGATTGATCACATGATTAAGGTATATTGGCATGGGGTTAAAAGCAAGCAATTTAAGAAGTCTTTGTGATTGCTGACTCTTAAGAAGACTTATAAGAACCTTGTTGCCACCAGAGGAGAAGCTGTCACTTATCCATAGTACTATAAAGCTGATGAAAGGGATATTGAGGAGAACATTATGTAACACATCATAAAAACTGGCTAGTTGAATGAAATCCTCAATCTCATAAAAATTCTATCTGATTAAGAAAATTAAAAGCAGAAAACATTAAGATTACTATGTTAATTGTTTGCTGCTATACTCACAAAGGAAACGTCTACTTAAACCAGAATGGCCCTTAGTCAGTATGATACTTTTGTGCTAGGCTTTTTTTTTGGGGGGGGGGAGGTTGTTTCTTGGTGGTAGAGGGAATAGGGAGGGAACCAAAGCGCAGCTTTAAAAAAGAGGCATTTTATTAAAACTATTTTTAAAAATGTACTTTATGTCTCAAGACCATAACCCATGTATATGCCTTTACAGTTCTAAATTACCCTTCCATTGGTTTACTGAACTCTAGATAGCATTAATAGCAGGATGTGGGCGTTTTACTGAAGTTTTGCTGTAGCTCCATCAAATGCAAACCAGATCCTCTCCTTCTTTTCAGGCTATTTTTGAACCTAAAGATTTACATATGTCAAAGGCTTGTCAAAGTAGAGATATTTATGCTCAAATGATTGTCTTACTTCACAAGTATTCTAGAGAAGCTTTACCCAGAAAGGCTGAAGAGAGCCACATCTTCCTCCTTGCCACAGGTCTTAGCATTTCTACCACACATTAACCAATTTTACCCTTAAGTGGGAAGAGAAAAGCAATACCTTTCCCTGTCTGAAGAAAGTCTTGTTTCCATCACACTTTGGCCTTATATTTATTAATACCTGGGACAGGGAGAAATGCAGTGGCTCTGACTGGTCTGTCAAGGGAACTTATGTACCATCTTTACCCAGCTACTCATACTTACTACTGGGGTGAAGGGAAAGAAAAGAAACAGTAATATCAAAGATGGAGAGCTTTCCTAACAAACTATTTTTCTTCCAATTTTTTAAATCCCATTTTTGTCTACTTATGAACAGTCTCTGGTTTGGGTAATGATAAAAATCTTAATGCTATCCAAACTTGAGGACAAAGCATCATTATTATCTGACCTTTACATGGCACTTTAAAGACGAACAGTGCTCAATAGCTTCTACCAATGAAAGACGAGTTAGAGGAAAGAATTAACTACTGAGAAACTGCCTGGTGTCAAGGAATAAGACTTGAAACCAGAACACCTGTTGTTGAATCCCAGCCCTGCACCATTATTATAATAATAATGATATTATTATCATTATAAGCCTCTGTGAGTTTCAGTTTGTTCCCTCACAAAGGGTCCTGACACTACACCCCTCCATAACCCCACCCCAAATTGGCTTTAGGAAAAAAGCTTTGTAAATATGACATCATTAAACCTCCACCTGAGTCCTGTTCTAATGCCACACTGCAACAGGCCCATGACGACCCAGGACCCTTGAAGGCTATGTCAGTGGAATTTCACCTCTGAAAGGTCCTGCTCAAGCTGAAAAGGCTTTGGAAGAAGCTATGGGTAAGGGCAAGCCCAGGCAAACAAGTTCAAAGAGATCACCAGGAGCTGGCCATGAAAGGTGCAACCATGATCCTACAGCAGAGAGGGGTTGAGATAGATAGTTCATGTCCACACTGATGAAATCACACATTTTTGGAGGTATTTTCACTAATGATAAACTAGAACCTAGTGTGACAATCTGGTTTTAAAAATCAATTGTAAAGAGTTTAGTATGTTAAGTAACACCATATACAGAAAATCCACTCCACTTTAGATGGCTAGAGCCTCATTCTAGTTTGCTTGGAATTTCCTAAGTAGAGATATTAGGAAGAAGATTGAATTCCTTAGTATATCTTCCTATATATGCCTAAAAGTCCTAAGATGCTCCAAAGTTATTCTCGGGAGCTATTGGGAATCTGAAGGCTCCTAAAGCTGAAGTCTAGATCTAAACAAAGAATTCACAACGGGTGAAACCATCCAGTGAAGTACTGTAGGAAACAAAACGTAGTAAGTAAAAGTTGTAGCTCAAGAACATCAAATCCAATAGATACATGATTAGGTATTTATCCCCAAAGTTTAAGCT